GTGCAAATATGAAAACGTTATATTCACCTGAACCCTGCTGTTACAGCGCTCCCTACAGCCTCTCTCCTCCTACGATCCAGCGATGGACTGTCCTTCGGCGTCCTAAGCACAGTGTATTGGATGTAATGACTCATGGATCTCTAGACTGCTGGAGCGGAGGGGAAGAGGGGCTGGGGGGACTGCTCTAACAGAAAGCCAGCTCCAATAAATTTTCAAGGTTTCAGATGTATACCAAAAGTGAAAACCATTCATGGAAACTTCCACTTGCATGTTGCTGTAATAACATGTGATATAAACAGCACCCGGAAAACTTACACTAAAGAAGTACGTACTGTCATATACACAAAGTCAAGTGTACCCGTCATCACACAGGCTGCACAGCCTGATGTCTATGGACAGTCATTCTATGCCGATGTGTTACAATGGCCCAGAGTTCTTATCTCTCTCTCTGCAACCAGCTACTCAGTTACAGAAAACTGAAGAAATGTGTGCATCGGAAACTGGTGGCATCATTTCTGCCCTGTAATTAAATTATAATACGCCGTGTCCCTAAGAGGCATTTAACATCAATGTAACTGTCACATAAATATAAAGTAGGAGTAATTTGAGCCTAAAACATAGAACTGGTATAAATACAATAGCATAAAAATGCAGCTATACTAACTGGGCCGCTTTTTCAAGAGTGTATGCTTAATATCCATATTCCTACTTAAAGCTCCACTCCAAAATAACCAAATATTGTTCTGTGCATTCTTACTTGACTCTTGGGTATTTCTTCCAGATCTGAGCAGTAATCCAGTGTGAAACATAGAGGTTCATGTAATAAAGACTGGTCACTGCTGCGCTCTCTCCCTGTGCAGGTCTTGTCTCCGTCCACTCCTGTAATAAAGACCAGTCACTGCTAAAGCGTTTAAAGCGATGCGCAAACTGTTGGCGCTATATAAATACTATGTAATAATAATAATAATAATAATACTCTCTCCCCTTGTGCAGGGTGACTGGTCTTGTATCCGCCCCCTCCTGCAATAAAGACCAGTCACTGCTATTCTCTCTCTCCCTGTGAAGGGGGACTGGTGTTGTATCCGCCCCCTCCTGTAGTTTTCTGCAGGCAGTCCTCCCACAGCTCTGCTCTCTGTGCAGCACAGTGATGATTTAATATAGGTTTGAAAAGGCATCTGGTGCACACAAAGTGGATTTATATCCTTTGTGGCTATTGAGCAATATATTTAAATGAACGTTTTTGTGCCCCAAGTTCAGTGTTAATATACTGTGATATGCTTAATATTGGGTTATGAATCAGTACTGGCTCCAGCTATATAAGGCCTATCTAGTTATATATGCAGATGATTGAGCAAAGACGACATTTGGTGGTTTGACAGTGTAGTAATATTATTCTCGGTTTACAGATTTAGTGCTTCAAGACCCTCGTTTTGTTGGTGTGAGAAAAGGCCGGAATGTCAGCATACAATGTGGATGTCAGAGTTCTTTACCCGTAAACAGCACCGTCACTTGGTATCGTGGACATCAGGATGGGTCAGTTATCAGCTACCTCTTACCAGATGAACATACGATGATGAATCAAAGCATTCTTTATATGAACAAGGTCCAGAAAAAACACAATGGGATCTACTTCTGTAACTTCACAAGAAACAACCTCACTAGAGTTCCCTGTGCAACAGAACTGATGGTTTTTGGTGAGTCCATGCATGGTTATACTGAGTGTTACTCTATGTGGTCTGCGTCTGAGATAGGGTGTAACGGAGTATACATACATCAGCCGTCAAGACACTCAAGGCGTTCAGCTAATTGGCATTTTCTGTAGCTACGGATGGTGCAGTCCCTATTTGTTCTGCTTTGCTGGGTGCCACCACACCCGTCGCTTCCTGAGAGATCTACAAAAACACAGGTGTTCTGCAATGCTACAGAACAGATTGCAACAAAGATTCTGCGCTTTTGGAAAGTAAACTAAAAATCAAATAGTGATCCAAAAGCTGCTATGAGAAGTGTTAAATGTGAAAGTTTTTTTTGAATATTTATTCACAGGGTTGTCACCCATGTTTTGATTCATATAATGCTACAGAACAAACACACTCTGAGCACCTAAGAGAACAGATAACAGAAAGAAGTAGGGATGAAAAGGAAGGAATAAAAAAAAAAAATAAAACATATCTTGAAAATAAAGGAGCGCAGCGGTTATGCTTTGATCTGTTCAAGGACTCGAGGGAACCCTGTACATAAGCTCTAGGTGGATGGGACTATTATAATGAACAGCCAGGGCTATTTTACAATAACTGTAACATTACAATTCTCCCTTAGGAAGAGGCGATTAATTGGGACATGATGTATAAATACATACAGTAAGTGGTCCATATAGCAGACATGTGCGATTCGTTTCAGAAAGATCCTTTATTCGGATATATCCGAATCTCTACACGACAGAAATAATGAATGAAAACTAATCCGAATTTCCGATAATGAAAATTTTGGAAGAAATTCGTTAGCGGTAGTCTGCTGCAAATTTTCGTTTCTGGCCGAAGATTTGTTGCAGCAAAGTGACATTAAACAAAAGAAAAAAATGGCTTTTTTCTTTTTACAGTCTGCAGAAGAGAAAAAAAAAAATCTGAGGTTCTCCCCAAATTTATACCAGACCCTTTAGGTCTGGTAGGAATGTTAGGAGGGACCCCTCCCAAGTAAAAAAAAAAAAAATGTGTGAGGTTCCCCCCCAAAAGCCATGCCAGGCCCTTTAGGTATGGTAGGAATTTTAAGTGGGAACTCCACCCACAAAAAATGGGGGAAAATTCCTACCAGACCCTCCATCTGAGCACAGGCCCGGCAGGGCAGGAAAGGGGGGTAACGATGATGTTATGCCCTAAATGGCCCTCCTAACATTCCTACCAGACCTAAAGGGTCTGGTATCAATTTGGGGAGAACCTCAGATTTTTTTTCTTTTCAGCAGACTGTAAAAAAAAAAAAAAAACCTTTTTTTTTTTTTTTCTTTAAAACAGAATGTAAAAAAAAAAAAAAAAACCCTTTTTTCTTCTTTTGTCTAATGTGACTTTGCTGCAACAAATATTTGTCCAAAAACGAATATTTGTACAGACTATCGCTAACTAATTTCTTCCAAATCCAGAAATGAATTGGCTTTCGGTCCCGAATCCCGAAAAACAAAATAACGGAAAATCCAAATGAATACGAAACAAAACAATTTTTTTGCCGGTGCACATGTCTACCATATAGTATGTTTGGTACAAAGATGATCACTTGAAATGCATTACACAAGAAAATGGGAGACTGGAATCTATCCAAAAAAATGATTTAACCTCCACATACAGAAAGGTTCCTTTACAGTAAGAGTTCTAGCCAACGCGGTAGAACTGGCTAGAAATATTAAGAAATAATACTCTTGAATGTTGATCTAGGGTGCTATCCAATTGTTTTAGCGGATCTGTAAGGAGTTTTCTCCCCTTGTTTTCTTTGCTTTTGCTTCGGTGAACTGCAGGTTCGAGGGTACAAAGTCTAAAGTGTTTTGGTATAAGTGACCTCTGTCACTAAAAGGTAGAAAAGAAGATAAAGCCCACCTGTAAAAGGAGATGCTGTATACCTAAGTTCTCGGCGGCCTGTGTGTAAACAATTGTTGCCTTGCTGCTCCCCAACATCTTCAGGTACCCTAACTTCAGGTGCGTCTAAAACCTGCACACACCTCCATAAGCTATGGTTCCTTCCACCGCCTCATATGTGCCGTAGAGACGCACAACCCTTCAGAAGGGACCACAACATCCCACTGGAGGACTAGAATCATATAGCAGGAAGTGTTGTTTACCTTCAGAGGAGTTGGTAAATGGAGGAAAATGGTATAGAAAAGGAACAGGAGATTTAGGATGTTTCCTATATGACCCAGATTATTACTTTTGCAAAGGCTGATCAGATGGGTACTCTCTGCACCATGTCTAACTATTAACATATTGAAAAGCACTGGTCTACCACAGGTCCTGACATTGATGGAGTAAGCTTTTATATAATAAAATATATAAAATGATCAAATAATTTTGCTGCAATATTCCACTTCTATCCAGAGATTCCCCACTCTCTACCTTTTTCCCCAGTCCGATGGCCAACATCATTCAATCCACTTTCTCTGAGCCCATGCCTAGCTTAAGTGAGAGAAGCAGCAGCACAGTGATGAGCTCATCCCTCAATCACCCTGCTTTCTCCTTAGCACATGAACTAATTGGCTCCTGGTGCTTCTTCTTCCTCTCACACTCTAGTTCTGCTGTGCAAGGAATGCAAGAGGCTGATACTAGGTCATAGGGATGCACAGATACCAAGATCTCGTACAAGTACAGATACTTTTCCAGCTCCAAGACTAGACTAGAGAAAAACTCCAAAGTTAGGGAGCAGCTGTCATTTTTCATGAGCATTAGCTACGGGGCTCCTGGGATTTGTACATCCCTGTTTTAATGTATATTTGTTATAAAGCTATTCCTCACTTAAGACCGAGTCCCGTTCCTACGACTAGGTCGTTAAGCAAATTGGTCGTCAAGCGAGGAACTGTATTAGTACAGTATTGTACTGTGGTGTTGGAGATGTACAGTACTGTACAGTGTACTGTACATCTGTTAATAGAGTACTTACTAAGAATAGTAGCGGAGAACGGAGTACAGTACTGTATGCAAGATGAAGTCGGTGAGATGCCGCACTGCCGTTGCCACGTACCCACACATACGGTTGGAGAGCTGGTCGTAAGTGTGAGCGGTCACTAAACAGGTAGATGGTTAAGTGAGGAATAGCTGTGTGTATGTATATATACACTGAGTGGCCAGATTATTATGACCACCCCATCAGTACTTCGTTGGGCCACGAGATAACTCCAGGAGATTACTTTGTTGGGCCGCCTCATGACTCCACAAGATGTTGAAAGGTGATGCAAGGAATCTGACACTGCACTGTTGCCCTTCTGTTGTCTTGTACCAGTCTTGCCACTCTCCGTTCTGCCCTAACATTGACTAGTCGCTGACGGCCACAATTCGCACGTTCAGACCCAGATTTTCGGCTGACAGTCCAGTCTTTAAACACTTTAACAATGAGCCCCTCATTTAACGAATTCTGCTGTTTTGCTGATACTCGCTCCATGGCTCGCGCCAACAATCATGCCACATTCAAAGGCTGTTAAATCGCGTAATTTACCCATATCTTCAGAAAAAAATCACTTCTACTGTCGTGGTAAACAACCTGCTTCCCTATTTATTAGGGATCCACCGATGCCGATACAAGCATCGGTATCGGCGGCGATACCGAGTATTTGCATGAGTACTCGTACTCGTGCAAATACTCCGATACAAAAAACGAGTACCAGTGCCATGTCCGCCATCTTCAGGGACCCGAATCCGCCGCACACAGGACCTCCATCGCGTCTTCAATGAAGCAAGATGGCCGCAAACTCCTCCTCCAAGTCCTCAGTCATCTGCTCCAGTCTGACCTCTTCTCCCGCTGATTGGCCGATTGGATGATTGACAGGCTTCCTCACCAGTCAGGAGTGACTGGTGAGGAAGACTGTCATCATCCAATCGGCCAATCAGCGGGAGAAGAGGTCAGAATGGAGCAGATGTCACAGCCTAGTAATCTGCTCCATTCTGATCTCTTCTCCCACTGATTGAATGATTGACCGGCTTCCACACCAGTCAGGATTGACTGGTGAGGAAGCTGGTCATCATCCAATCGGCCAATCAGCGGGAGAAGAGGTCAGAATGGAGCAGATGTCAGGAGTGACTGGTGGGAGATATGTTTCGCAGCACACCGTTCCTGCAAGAGACACCGACGTTGGACCCTTTCTCCCATCTACCATCAGAGTGATCTGTCTTCACTTCAGCTGCCTCTACCATCCAGTCCATGCGGCTCCCCCACAGCCGCCGACGGCGGTTACACACGCGCTGTCTGGGCCACAGTCCCGGCTCCGACGTGCGTGTGCATCTCCCCATCGCCTAATCCACTCATAGGAGCCCCACACCCCGATCCCACACTTTGGGGTCTGCCCATACAGTGCCGCCACCGAGTGACCCACAGTGGGCCCTTGTTCTTCCCACACACTCCACGGCCGCAATACCTTCTTCTCCCACCGCCATCCCGAGCTGCATCAGAGGCACTCACCACAACCCCAGTCTAGGTCCTCACCACAACTGCAGCAATCCACTGGGAACATCAGGAATTTCTACGCCCAGCACGGAAACAACAAAGGCCTGAGGACCACCACCGACATCCACCGCCGATGACAGCACCTCACCCATTACCAACCTTCACGGCTTGTATGTAATAAATGTATACAAATGCATTCATTGATACATTAGTGATTACAGAGCTGTATTAATTTGTATCTTTTATATGTGCCTAGAGTTCAGCTTTAATATACTTTCACAGCTACTGTATCCGCATCAGTAGTGTTACAAATAGAGAAAGTCTGCTGAAAGATCATGCCAGAGTGACATCAGGCCCGTTTCCTGTTTTTCATAGCAGTCATACCAAGCCAAAAATATTCTGCCGCTGCATTTTAATTTTATCTGCAGCAGTCTGTGGGAAGGAACATGTGTTCTCTAAACCTTTATAAACAGCGAATGGAAAAAAGAAAAGGCAGAGGGCTGCAGATGTCAAAGTAAACCTGTCACCGCTATGCTACACACCAAAGCCGATCTATATGCATTCGGTGACCTGATATAGGAATAGCGTTGTGTCGTTCTTGCAGTAAACCTCCAAGCTTCAATAATAATCATTCTCCAAGTGCCCCATAAAACATTCATGATACTATTTCTCATAAAATGTATTTTAAAAATGAATAGAAAGTTGGTTTGCTGGTAAGGGAAGTCAATTGGGTTACAATGGAATACAAATCCTTTGTTTAGTTATAAAACCACAAAAACATTGTTCCGGAAAATCTGCTCAGTGACAAAATGTTCCTGGGAACCCTTTCTACATTGTTGGTAATTTATAAACATGATAATTGTAACTTAAAGTATAATTAAAGCCTTTCATGTTTTTGCATATATCTATTGCTAGCAAGCAGTTGATATATGCAAAAACATAAAAAAAAAGTTTACAAAAAGGGTTCAAAATTAGATGCGTCTCCGCCGCACGCTCCTGTCCGAAGATCTGAAGATTTTCGGGGCGGCCGCAAAGGATGATGGGGCGGGCGCATGCGCAGTAGAGATCTTCGGCGGGGAGAAGAGGGGAGACAGGGTAACTAAATGTTAGCAGTCCAGCAGCGTGCACCCACACAGACTCCGGGGGACACAGAATACACAGCAGTCAGCGCTGGATCAGAGACTGGCACCAGCGCTGGAGAGACTCCTGAAAACTACTGGAAAGAAGATGATCGCATCAAGAGGCATCACTTAAGGTAAGTCCTTACACTAGCATTGGGGGGGGGGGGTTTTGGCTTTAATGTCACTTTAAAGCTGAACTTCGAGCAAGAAAGCAATGTATGTTATTTAAGTAGGCAACTTACCACTTTTTATTGCCTATTGGCACCAAATAAACTGCCATTTCCACCCATGGAGACCGATCAGCTCAACAAGCTACCTATGTGGAGGTTGAAAGGGCACCTCACCACCCCTTTGTATTCTTACTATAGGCAGAGCTGGAATCACTACAGCTCTCATCTGTGAACACTGGCAGGGTTTTCTCTAGCTCTTTCTGTACAGTTATGCCACATTCCCAAGCTGTTCTTTGTTCTCCTGTCAAAGCCCATACTAAGGCCAACATGACCTCTGCTGACTCCCAAGAGCAGGCCAATAGGTTGGCTGTAGGAAGAGAACTCTTGGCAGATGTTATTTTGCAAGGAGCTTCTATGGCCATTCATAGTTCATCCTGCAGGTCCCTCCCTGTGGCTACTCCTGATGCTGGCTCATATTATAATCCTGCAATGGTATCAGAAGGTTAAAGAATACGAATATATTTACTCTAAAAGGGGTAGAAAAAAATATTTTGATGTCGAGATGGAGAGGATGCCTTACATGTTAATTATGGATTGCTTGGAGATCAGCTTTCATTTTACAGGCAGCAAAAGGAGGAAATTTTAGGTTGTCAGTGAAGCTTTTCTACCCATGTATTAGGTGCCTGTCAGGACAGAATAGTGTTGACTTGCTTTAAGGTGCATGTTCTATTTCTTTTATTTCACTGCTTGGTGATAAGAACAAGAACATACATATCTAGAGGGCCAACGCCTGATATACACAGAGATGTCTGTGTCAGTGACCATCCAAGCAGCGTAGGAATAAAATACCCCTGTTATGTTAAATATATGAAGAGAATGGACGGAGATCGATAGTTCAACAAAAGAGAACTGGGCAGGGCTCACAACACTACCTGAGATGTCAGTGCTACAGAAGCTCAAACAGGAAATTAGGAGTTCACTGGATTTCTGGCAGACACACAGGTATTTTTCTATACTTGTAGCGTTTGTTAAAGGCATAAAACATAGGAAAATGTACATTACAGCAATGTATCAGAAAGGAAGTAAAAGGAATAACTCCATTGGGGACCCCACCAGCAAAAAGTGGAGCTTTACCGCTTTCACTAAAAATCCCCTCAGCATAAAGCTCTGCACGCTAATAGGAAATCTTACATTCATTAGTTAAACATATTTTTATTTTACTTACAATTACTGTTATTCCACTTCCTGGTCTTTTTGGGCATTAATGATGTAATTGTGACCAAGTGCTGCATCCTGAGAAGATTACATCAGCAGAGTATTGCTGGGAAATCTCATCGGTAATCTCATGAGATCTCAGGGAAATGCAGTTTCCTCCCCTGAGATGATGTGCATGGTCACATGTCCAGTCACATGTGCCAGAAATCCAGGAAGTAAAGGGAGAGCTATTAATCTGCCCTTTGTAAACATGGCCACTGTCAGATGGCTGAGGAAGAAAAGAGAAATAAGGTATGCAAAGAATACAAGCCAGGAATTATCTAGAAGTATGTGTTTGTAGATTGTCATTACTAAACATTTCTAAAGATGTGTTTGTTGTCATTTCAATGATATGGGTAAAGGTCCACTTTAAGTAGGGCAGAAAAATGTTCGAACCTCTGTCAGGTTTTACTGCTGTCTAAATTACCATAGCCAACTATATACATTTGAGAAGAAAGTGCATAAATGTGGTAGCACATTTCTTGTGACTGTCAAATGAAGTACTTAGAAAAATAACGGCATGAAAAAAAAAGTTGCTTCACTCCTTGTAAATCTCCCCCTCTAGATTTAGCCCGCTAGCAATATAACTGATACTGCTATACCATCCATAGACATGAATGCATTTTTTTTTAATGTTGCAGGTTCTGGGAACCAAGCTACAGCAAAGTCGAGAAATATAATGAAAGATGCAATCATAATGGTTCAGACAATTCTTATTGTGCTTTTCATAAGTGTGCCAATATCCATTCTAATGGAAATGGTAAGTGTGGACGCTGGAAGACAGGGCATGCAGCAGAGAATACCGAGCGTGTGCATCAAAATCATGTTCTGTGCTAGTCTGTAATCAGCATTCTGAGACAGGGGTCAGGGTTTGTATTCACAATCCAGATGGGTATTCAAGCAAACTTAATACATCGTATGAAAAGAGATTAGACTGATAACTAAAGCAAGTGCTGATGGCACAGAATTTTTACAGTAGGACTGAGGATCGTTCAGAATGGACTTTTATTCTGCCACTCATATTTAAAGGGAATTTCCCACTTATAGGGAAGCCACACATCTAATTCTTTTTTTGGGTAGTAGTCCTCCCACCCTAGTGTCCTGCTTTTAAGAAGACTAAGAGCTAATTTTTGCTTCCACACAGCGCCACCTACTGGGAAAATGTTGTACTGAGTACAATCATACACATGTAGCGGTACTCTGTTAGCATCACTATCAGAGTTATTCACAAAAGGGTGAAGAGTTTGGAGAAGACAGGAGAAGTGAACAATCTAGGACAACATAGCTGAACTGGAAAGTGAGCTGAACTGGAGAATTTGTCAAAATCAGCTAGTTTGGCCTAGATTGTTCACTTCTCCTGCCTTCTCCAAACTCTTCACCCTTTTGTGAATAACCCTGATATATCTCTAAATGCTCCAGCTCCAGCCAGCTAGTCAGCAATAGACAAAGGGGAGTGATCAAAAGAGGATTACAATCAAACACAAATTACCCTTTATTCCTAGCACTTTGTCAGTCTGCAATATCATGTGTGTAATCTTTTGTATTTATTATGTTTTAGAATATCTATAACTCCATATTTCACAACCAGACATTTCAAGGCGGAGGTCAGCCATTGCACGCTACATGTGCCTCCATAGTAAACCTTTAATGAAAGAAATACACAAACTGCCATTGCTGATCTCCTTTTGAAAATGTTACTTGTTGGCTTCAGTGCTCTGACTTGGAACAAGCGAGTGAATTCTGATCAAAAGTCAGAAACCTGCATGCTTGTTCCAGGTCAATGACTCTTAAAACACTATGGTTGCATTTTCATGCTTCTATCAAGGAACAGTTTCTCATGCGTTAGTCTTTGTTGCAGAAATTATATAATTAGTAATCATTTGTCTCTATTGCAGAAGAAAAAACGCACTCTGAAGATTGAGGATCATACATATGAGGTATGAATATTTTCTAACACTGCTGCACATTTTCATAGATAGATAGATAGATAGATAGATAGATAGATAGATAGATAGATAGATAGATAGATAGATAGATAGATAGATAGATAGGAGGTATTGTAGCAAAAAGATCCCTACTGTCCTGCTACTGACTAACTCCAGTACAAAACTACAGTAACATTCCCCTGTTAACCACATCACCACCACCCTTTCTGTGTCGGTACCTGTTGGTGCGTTGGAAGATTTCGTGCTGAAGAGGAGACAGCAAGAGAAGGTGGTCAAATACAAAGCCTAGTACCTATCATGCAGGAATATCTGAAAGAATATGATAAGTATCCAAGTCAATTCACTCATAGCTAAATGAATAGTTTTAGATGAAGCTCTCTAAATAATTCAAGTCATTAAAATCATGCTAACCGTTAATATTAAGTTCAAGTGCTTAGTCTTTTGAGGTGAAATACACAGGCCTACAGTTGACGAATAGACATGAAGTGGTAGCACGATGCTTGATTCATATCTACCTTGGCCCGGGTACACCACAGCAGTGCAGGGCTGACACCGTGGAGATACACACTAAGCACATCTAGGGATGGAGTTCCATCACTGAAGCCTGTAGAAACGCAACCTTTGCCGTCCAAAGCCATAGATAATTTTCCTATTTTACTACTCCTAAGCTGGCAGAGTATATTATGACAATGTGTAAAGGAACAAAAAGTGTAGCCAATAACTGTACAGTGAGAAAATAGCTTTTTTCTCTGTCACGTTTAGCCGCAAGCCTACTGTGCCTAGCGGTGAATCTGGCCCTGAGCACGTCTAAAATACTGGATAATAGTTCACATACGATCCAAGCTCAAAGTGCTGTGAAGCAATTCCCCTTTTCTCCAACCATGACTGCTCTACATTTTAAAAAAAGGAGTAGGTGAATATATTGGAACTCCTATAAACAGGAGGCAGGAACATCTGTTCATCCATGTTCTCTAATATGACAATAGTTTTTTATTTAGTTATGAATAGGGTTGCACAGATACCAAGTACAGTACTCGGTACAAGTACGAGTACATGTACCGATACTTTTGAGCTCCAAGACTACACTAGAGAAAAATTCAAAAATTAGGAGGCAGCAGTCATTTGTAAGGAGCACACGGAGCTCCTGGGATTTGTACATCTCCGTTTTAATGTACGATTTTGTTTTTATAAATATAAAGGGATGCACAGATACCAGTTTTGCGAGTACGAGTACTGGTACTTGCCGAGTACTTACAAGTACGAGTACTGATACATTTTTGTTTATTGTCATGTGACAGTTTTTCTAAAACAATACAGAATAATGATTTCAGGACAGTGGTGGAGCACCAGAGCCCGGTCCCAGCTGCAACCACTGCAACCCTGGTAGTTCTCATGAAAATGCCAAGTATCTGCACTGGTACTCAAAAAGTATCTGTGCATCCCTAGTTATGAAGTTAAATGTATTACTGGCATTAAAAAGAGTTATAATATAGCTGAAACGCAATGGATAATGAAAGATGCATCAAGGATGTATAAAATGCTTTTCTATAAAACATAACGGTTGAACTTGATGGACTTGTGTCTTTTTTCAACCTCAAATGCTATGTAACTATAAAGGTGTCCAGTGATATGTCTATTCCCCAGCTGTTACAAAATCAAATGACAGTACGTTTCAGTTTAGAATGCTGGTGCCCTCTGCTGTTCTTTGTTCAAAATGCAGCTGTAACATGGTTAGATGCAGATTTCAGACACACAGCTTTGAGCCCTGCAGCCAACAACCTGTGTCAGGGCACAAACAGGGTCTCTTGTGGTGGGCTTCCTATATGTGTTACCAAATTGATGACCCCTTCTAGTTATATACATGTTTCCGAAGCAGTTAGGCATTTTAGTTCAAAATTAGGAAATCAAAAGACGCCAGCCAAGGATTAAATGCACTGTTACTGAGAATTCAGGTATAAGCAGGGCCGTCCCTAAATTGAGGTGGTTGCCTCAGGCGGCATCTCATTGGGTCACCTGGAGGGGAAGGGGAGTGACATAAAACCAAATGTATCCCATTGCACTCCTGACCGGAAGATCCCAATAAAACAGGGTGTGTGCGGCAGTGACAGCAGATGCCTCCGCAAATCACACAAATTTCAGTAGAAAGTCACTCGCACTCCAAAGCGATGCCAAGTCAATCTCTTTATTGGCTACGGTAGTGTAACATCTCAAAGCGACGTTTCAGAAAAATATTTGTTTGCCTGAAGAAGTGACCACTGGGTTCCGAAACGTCGCTTTGAGATGTTACACTCCCGTAGTCAATAAAGAGATTGACTTAGCATCGCTTTGGAGTGCGAGTGACTTTCTACTGAAATTAATGGGAGTGACAAACACGCATTGGGTGCACCTATGTGTGAAAACGACAATTAGGCAACATGTTACATATCACTGTGAACATCAGAGTGCAAGCAATCATTCTAGGGCCATCAATCACTGTTAACACACTTTTAAAGAGTCGCCTATGGACAATTTTGCAGTTTCGCACCCGCATGCAATCTTAAGGCTTGACATGTTTGGTGTCTATTTACCCGACGTGACTCCATCTTTCATATTTTACCACAAAATTGTGTACTAATAAATGTTTTATAACATAATGTAGGGAAAACAGTTTTGTTTTGTTTTTTTACAAAATTGTATTTTTTCTTTATATAGTAAAAAATAAAAAACCCTAGTGGTGATTAAATACCCCCAAAAGAAAGCTCTATCTGTCCCCAAAAAATGGTATAAAATTAATTTCAGTACAGCATTGCATGACTGAATAAATGTCAGTTAAAGTACCGCAGCGCTGAATACTGAAAAATGGCCTGGACAGGATGGGGGTTTCACACCCCGGTCAGCAAGTGGTTAAAGAAGACCAAAGACATTTCCAGCTTTGAAATTAAAGGCTTCTATCTAAACCTGACCTGAGACATAAGTGAACTGCTCATACAGGCACAAGCAGTTTTTTGCACCTGTCTATAAATTGCTCAAAGTAATCCAACGTGATATTGGGCTTATTCAATCAAACAGAGCAAAGTGCTAAATGCCTTACCTGTAATCACCAATCAGGATCAATCTACTGTGACTTCACTGAAGCTGAAGTTGTGTTTTCCTTCATTATAGTCTTCTGTGCAGCAGATAAAATAAAGTTGTTTTAATGTCTTTAAACAGGGACTGGAGGCATACCAAACAGCAACCTATGAGGATATCCAGACAGTGCGGATGTTTACCACTAAAACCATGGAAGGAGAACACCCGTGTCTGGAGTAGGTTTCGGCCAGAGCTAGAAATACAAGGACTCCACTAGCATCTGCTGGGACTTACAGTTCCTATGACTTCTTCACTATATAGTGCTAACGTTGACATGTTAAGTTTCAAACCCTGACTGCGAGATCTGCATTTGCACCGGAAAGGACACGCGTGAAGGACAGACTAGTCTGTAAATGATCAGGGTCAAGGTGAACTCTCTGCAATTGACATTCTACTTTGGATAAAGCTGGCCGGTTAGATGATAGGTATCTTGTCCCAGGGAGCCTGTGAGATGGCTTAAAGGGAGGTCTCAAGGAAATGTGCACACATGTTTTTCTCACATTTGGGTGTACGTTTAATAAACTGTGATAAAACTAGCTTTATCACGAGTTAACTTTACTCAGCAGATCTCTTTGTTTTTCTCGGCTGCACAGAACCACAATACTTATCTCGTGATAAAGCTGTGCTCTACTTTTCTCCCTTTATTAAACAGGTACATTCCCATTACTTTCTGTGTACTTATCACCAGGATGAGAAGAGGTGAGATATTTCTGTTCCTACCTGACTTATCTCGGGTTATTAAACAGCATTTTCTAGACTTTTCACTTTGCTAAGGTGAGAAAAGCCTTCTCACTGCTTATCACACTCTTTCACAGTTTATTAAACGTACACCTTAATAGGTTATTGTTCTGGTACTATTCCATTATTATATTTTTTTTCTTCTGTTACCCATTTCTAGATCAGCAGTTTAGATTCCTCCTCCCATTGGCTTTTGACACTGGACATACATATATGTATATGTGCATGTGCATTTTTATATGTTATCAACCTACTGTCAGGCTACCTGCATTGTGCACATGTCTATGTATTGTCAGGTGCTATGTGTAGCAGATGCAGTGCATCAGGAAGATGGTATTGTATTAAACCTCCCTGTACACAGAGAGCCTACAACAGACAAAGGAGGGAAAAGAACGAACATGCAGTTTCCCTATTCCTGTATCAAAAAATATACTGTAAATGCATTTAAATAGGAGCTATACCTACACGATTATTGACTCATTTGTTGGGATGAATCAAAAGTAACAGAATAAATGAAAGTCTTACTGTCCTGGAGAAAATGCTGCTCTAGTGCAAGACACGTGAACCAAAAGCCCGGGTATTCAGTAATGTCATCTCTGCTGAAGTGAAGGATCATCCAATCTGAACGCAGATCCTTCCCTTTGGCAGACACCCTATGATCAAATGGCGATTTTGGTCTAGTGACGAGCGCTAGAAGGATCCTGAAGCAGAGTTCTCGAGTAAGCATTTTAGCCCATCTATTTTTCTGTAATAGAAAATGTGAAGAAGCACACTGTAAATAAATATATCCATATTTAAGTATTGATATAAGCAATTAGTCTACATTAATTGTGGACATCAACAGAAACTACTGTGGAAAAATGTACTACACAGGATGCAATAAAAAAAAAAATCGACATAATCAAATACAAACATTTTTACAGAATAAGTCTGATGGATGTAAATTACAAACAGTAAAACATTAAGGATTCAAAGCAGCAGTGATAAGATGTGACAAAAAGGCAAATATGCTACATGGAAGAAATGCTACATGGAAGAATTGTTAAATACTAACAAAAATACAAAGTGCAGAAACATACACAACGAGGTGGGCAAATACTGGAGCAGGGAGAGTCCCATAATAATTAGACCTATAGAATGCAGGCACTTTCCCCGCTACTGACCCTAATATGGCAGTAACACTGTAGGAGAAGGGCAGTGGACTCTTAAAGAGGCACCGTCAGTCTCTAAAAAAACAAAATCATATCTGAAGTTCTCTGCAGTAGTAGAGGTAATATACTTACCTCTCTAGTGACCTGTGTCTCCTACCTTTTGCTCCAGCACTTCAGCCTTCCATAAGACTCTTTGGCTTTCAATGCTTAAAGAGTTGTCAGACGCCGGTATCCCCTATCGCATGTTGCGGTTCTATCTTTCAGCCCTTACGCAACAACAGAACACAGGAATGACGTAGGGGTCAATGGATGGAACCACAGAGCGCAGTTGGGGGACACAGACATCTGACATTCCTGGAAGTGTTGAATGTCTTATGGAGGCTGCAGTGCTGGGACAGAGGAAAGGAAGAAAACACACGCCTTCAAAGATGTGAGGTTCTTCTATTGCAGGGAACTGCAGATAGGATTTTGTTTTATAGGTTCTATAGATATTCCGGTGCTGCCGATTTGTTACCAGAATAGTCAGTGTGCTATGGGCATAACAGTGCAAAGGTTCTATCCAGGCTATTACCCTCTGAGATAATTATTATTTAATGTATGATCTTGTTTTTGTGTACAGATTTGTATAAACTAGTCAAACTTTCTTAGAAAAGTTAACTGGTGATGTCCATTACAGATCACAGCTTCAGAGATGCCAGTGACCAGAGCAGAGGTTGCATGTTGTATAGGCTATGTGTATATCTGTATAGGCTACTTCCTTTTTTTTTTTATAATACTCTGGAATCTTTTCCTTTTTTATGTCTTGGAGATCTCGGTATAACACAGAGGGGTCCATTCCCATTGAGGGCCCAGAGTAATAACTTCTTCATTTCACTTCCAGCCTCAATACAGGTGACATCTTGTGTTGCAGTGCTCTATAACATATGAGTGTATAACAAGTATTAGATTTTCATAGCAGGACTGAAAGTGGTGTGGAGCCCTATTTGTTTACTACAGGGTATGGTTTGAGACAGTTAAACCTTTTCAGGCTCATAAACACATTTATTTACATTCCGAGAAGCCTATTTTGATGCCCAGTGCTGTGACACACGTCAGCGTTTACATGATGCCGCTTTGCTGAATGCTGTACGCACATATTCACCCATGTACATGAGTTTTAGGGTGTAGTATTTTTAATTTGTCTATTCCCTTTATGAGTTTGGTTTTCTAAGTTATATTTATCTACTGCACACCAGTCAAAACATTTAAGCTTTTAGGTTAACGTATACAAAGAGAAGAGATTGCAGTGGTAAATCTTCTGAGGCTAATTTGAACTTGTTTGGTTGTTCTGTAGTATTAGGAAAGGGACAGTCCATGCAGAAGTAACGCTGCAGTCACAAGTGTAGTGTGATGGATAGGTTTACCCGCTGGCTTCTTAGGTCTTGGGTATTCAGATGGTAAGATCTACTTGATATAATTTGTGGGTCTGTTCCCATCCACTGTGGAGGTCCCTGCTCACCTTGAGGCGATACCACTCCTCCAGCTATATTCCACATAATATAAAATAAATTAGGAATTCAACGGTATACCAGCCTGGGAACTGAAGTGCAGAATCCAAACCGCTACCAGAGCACCCAAGAAGCCATCAAAGGGGTTGCACTCTCCAGCAAGTTTCATAAACTGAACTAGTTTTGAGTGGACTGACCCCTTTAACCTTGCTTCACTTACCAACCAGCCCTGCTGAGGATAAGAAAATGAATTAGCACCTGATAGCTATATGCTTACATTCTTAAGTTCAACTTCTGCCAAAGCTACCTGTGTATCAAATAAGCTATAGAGTTTTATTACATTACAGTGATATAAATATGTTATATTGTATGCATAAAGTGTACTTGAATAAAATATTTTAAAATATGGATTGCGTTGTTTTTTTCCACACTCTAATACCACTGATGCCTAGAATCTGGTGCTCTGATAAGTGCCACCACCAGGAGATGAGATTCAATCACCCATTGCTACTTTTGGCTGCAGTTGTTAATGATGTAATTAAAGCTAGCCACACACAGCTAGACTTCTCTTCTCCAGCCCGTGGGCAGAACGAGAGAAAACCAATGCATTCTCCATGCACGGTAAACAGCATGCATGGAGTCATCTCTGCTGCCGGCTATTGTATTCAGGAACAATGGAACAGGAACAAATGGATTCAAATTATCAGAAGATCTGTCAAATTGTGATGAAGCATAATGGCTCTGGCGAGGCCATTCTTGACATAATGGTGGTGTTCCTAAGACAAGGAGCCCAGAATTGAAGATTCACACTTATAACTCCAATGAGAGCCCCAAGCATAGTCTAAAAATTTTAAATAGTAGTTCACAAAAGGACAGGACAGACATGTTTGGGGAACTGAAAAGACCTCCCCCTTCCTCAGGGATTAAATCTTCAACCCATTTTTAAACCTACTTTTGTCAAGCTGGATAGTGCTTGACAGGCCAATCCATGACTTGATCGAGTAGTTCGAAGTGATAGTAAGTCAGGTTCCACTATGCCTTAAGCTCGCCATAGATGGCTCGAATTTTGGCGGTTTACTGTTGTCTGAAATTTGACCGGTTTATGGCCAACTTAGGGACCATGGAAACTGACTTACTTCTACTCTAAACTACTCAGCAATAACAGACTGAAAAGGAGGGGGCCGTGGGGCTGTGAACAAAGGAAACATTTGATTTAATTTTCGGAGAAGCCGATTTCAAGCATAAGACCCATATACGCATCAACTGCTATGGAAGAATGGAAGTCTTGCTATAATGGTATACTGCAAGGTAGTGGTTCTTACTGTAGTTTTATTTCAAATGTTGTAAACCAATGGAATAAGGTAATTAAGTCAAATAATACAACTATCAGACCTAAAGCCTGAATAAAAATTTTGGCTAAAACATTAAGCAGCAATACAAGGAAAACAGAAAAAACAGTGAAAACAGTGAAAAATACTCCAGGCCATGAACTTTCCCCACTAATACCAGTAACTTGACCAAGTGCCACCATTAAATCATGTTATCTGTAATAAAGGGAAGAATACAAGTTCACTCCAAACCACTGGTTGGCCAGGTCATTACCCCAGCCCCTTTGGCTGAGATCAGGTCACCAATAATGGCATTTCATCCAACATCTGGTTAGATGACTGGCACGAAGAATTTTTAGACTGCACCTCAGTCTTTAGTTTCAATGCTTTACTTAAGAGTCCTGTTCTTTTTTTAAGCCAAACTTTAAAGTGACACTAAACTCAGGAGTTAAATCTAAAAAATGCATTCAAGTACCTTACCTATTAATGATACTGGACCTTATTTGTGTATCACTCACCTGCAGATCCTCAAATCAGCTCTGAATTGGTGCTGACACTGTCCTTCCTTCTGGAGGGGGGCTACTTTTGTTCCCCATGGTCCTTGTCTGTGTTGTAAAGTCACCGCTCCAATCTCACTCCAGTGGACTACAATCTCATGTCTAGTTTACTAATTTGTGGCAAGACTGTAGTCCATCACTTGGAGTGAGTTTAGAGTGGTGACTACTTTACAACACACACAGGGACCATGGGGAACAAAAGTAGCCCCCCTCCAGAAGGAAGGACAGTGTCACCACCAATTCAGAGATGATTTGAGGATCTACAGCTGAGTGATACACAAATAATACATTTTTGTTAATAGTTAAGGTACGGAAATTTATTTTTAAGATTTAACTCCTGAGTTTAGTGTCACATTAAATCAGATTATAAGACCACAATAACACTAGTAACAATAATGGGAACAAATGTAAGAACAGATGACCAATTCTTGTATTAGTTGAAAAATCTCACTAGATATTAATAAATAAGTGGGTAGCGGTGAACAGGAGGTTTCCTGTGGGTTTATGACCACATTGCAGGTCCATGCTTTTAATATTCATGAAGAATATGTTGGCCTGGAATTCAGGAGGATTTACTGGCTGTTTAATATACAGATTAGAGATGTGACATGATGTATTCATTCATTACTCAGGAAACAGCTCATCATTCAGGCATCAGGAAAGGAAGGTATCATGTGTATGCAATGAACAAATATGGATATTTTATAGCTATGAAATGTGCAAACAAGTTTTTGTTGCATTAAGGTTATGACGGTATTGACCAGTGCCACTATCAGTACAAAGGTATGGGTTTTTTTTGTTTTTTTTTAATAGTCCAAGAAAAAGAGTTATCCAGTGTGCAAAAATACAGTCAAACTATAGGTTGGTAATCATGAAAATAAGATATGTGGATCCAATGTAAAATTCTTCTAGGGCACCATATACAACTTGCGGCTCGTGGGGAAAAAGCAGCCTGGAGAAAACACCAGTCTGAAGGCAAAACAAGCAGGGCAGAGGATGGGCCAATATACCTTGGCAATATCTTCAGTGGTGATACAATCAATCAATAAATGCGCTCACAACTAAAAATTTAACACTCACTAATCTGTGGGCTCCACGTTTAAGCTCTTTTATGGTAAAATGTGTTACAACGGAGCAGACCAAAAGAACTGGGGACTGCTGTTTTGGAGCTAATAAAGTTGATTTTACTGAAGTGATGCCATTTGTTTTTTAGCTGTTTAGGACCAAAAGAAAAGTGGCTCAGAAATGTTACCTATGCCCACTGCAGGATACCTCCTAGTGGTGGCCAGTGGCAGGGATAAAAGTGGAAATGTGTCCGGGTTACTGGGATTAGCTCTGCGGAATTTACAAGCCCTGCTTGTATTCCCATTATTTTTTGAGTAAGCTAGCATAATGATGATGTACAAAGTGTAGGAAACCCTACCAGTTGATTAAAAATAAGTTTTGCTGAAAATGTCCACAGTTTAAAGACGGTTTATTGTGTCTTTCATGTCAGCACTGCCTTACGGAAAATGCCCAGTAAAGCGTACATAAGAAAATAATAGTTCAGTCATGCAGGCAGTGGGAGACGGGTACAATGCATCAAAACATTGGAGAAGAGCGGTACATTCTCCAGCATCCCTAAGATTACCCACGAATGCAATAGGATGGCATAGGATGACTGCTGTAATACAGAGGCAAATGCCCAACAGCTGACAACTGTCATAGACAAGGCTCCGAAACAGCACTGGAGGTCTGCCATTGCCTGATATCCAAATGTGGTGCCTATTCTGGGGCCGAGTACATTTGTGTAACATCACACACAGTGTCCTGCCTGTTCTACAACTAGCACTGCTTCTGGAGGTAAACCAATGGCAGTATCTAGTGATGGATGGGAACCATAGCTGTGGCTGATATCAAATACTAAGATAGGTTCCCTATAATAAGAATCTATTACTTTAGATAACAGACTGGTCTTAGATACAAAGTGGATACAGAGAGATTACCTAATCAGGTAAGGTAACATTTTGTTAAACTTTTTTTTGTACTTTGACATATTTCAAAGATAAATGCCTAGGCATCTGCAATCTATTAACATCCTCAGGAATGGGTCCCGTGCCATGAAAAAAATATGTATTCTTATAGCTGAGAACTAGGACTACACACCTCTGCGCTTTCCTAGTTCTCCGACTGTTTGTGACAGCTCCTCACCTTCCCCTAGTGATCAGAAACCATTCAGTGCAGTTCCTAATGATGTTATCACCATGACAGCCAATTATGGTGAATCAAATGCAGACAGCCTGCAGATGCCACTTGGCAGGGAGGGTGAGTATTGATAAATGTATGCCTAATGTTCCGACCATAGCAGGGGGCATATTTGATGGTCTTTATTTGCACCCTAATACAGAGCAAAGACTTTTCAGTGATGGCATGTTGGACCTTTTTTATTTGCACCCGAATACAGAACAAAGTCACGGAGAACTTACCGTTTTGTTACACCCTGAATTTATATACAGCAGTTTTAATTAAACTTCAATTGGGCTTTAATGAAAAAAAACATTAGGACCCTTTCACACGAGCAGCGTCCGTTCCAGTCATCAGGGGATGCATGCACAGAGCAGTACTGAATGGACCCATGTTAGGTCTATAGGCAGTCTGATGTAAGCAGGCACACGATTACCTCCGATCCATCTTATTCATGTCTGCCAAACAGAACTCTATTCCATGTTTTTTGGGGGGACCTAGACGGACTTGGAGGCAGTTGGATGCACACTTAGATTCGACTACCCATACACCAAACATGGGTCTGGATTGTTATGATGGAGAAAAAAAAATGTCCTTTTATATCCAGGCTCCCCATAGCATAACACTGAACTTCCGATCAGGTACAGGTAAAGGGAGCCTTCGTTTTTTTTTGTATCTAATTAAATCCTTATATGGCTTTGAAAAAAATAATTTAGGAAGGCAAACTGGCCAAAGAGTTATTATATTAATTTAAAGGACGCATGTTGATGTTGCTCAATTTGGTCTGGGCATCTACACTACAATGACCTCTAGTCATGAGCAGGGTTAAGCAGCACTACCTTTGAGTCTTAAACATAACCCCTATCCTCCCTTCAACTGTCAAATGCATGGGAATCTGCTGCCCACTGTGGCATTTGGCAGGACCCGCACTTCAATACTGCTATTAACTTAGGCACTTAAAACAAGTCTTATTTATGTAAAATACACTTTAAATTCTGTTAGACTAAAGGCTGTTACTCTGTTGAATAAAATACCTTTTTTTTAAATTTGTATTTCAGAAATGATCAGTGGAGTTACCAGAGAAAAGATGTATGAATCACAAAACAACTGACTGCGGGTGTATACCTGTAAAACCTGCAAGGAGACCCAGCTGTAAACAGATATACTATGTTCTAGGAACACAAATGTCACAACTCTTCATCCATATTCAACTAGTGACACATGAGAAATACTTCATATATGTAAAGGCCCCCATCTCAGTAGTAACTGGCGTATTGATCTAATACCTATTAATTAGTTTATGTACACTATATAAAATGCATCCGACCGTCCTCACCTTCCAACAGATCTGTGGAACCCGAATATACATCAGGAGCACCGCTAAACTCAAGCAATGGCTTCAGGTATATCTCAATGCAACTCTTAGTGTGTCTAATGCCAATTTTTTTTTATATAGCGATCATCGTCACCGCAACTTAGTGTGGGGGAAAATCCTACATTTTGATTGTCCCCTGAACAGAAATAGAGGGAAATCTTCCAATAAAACTCTTGCGTCAGTGACAACAGTCTAAAGGTGCATTTACCTCACTTTGAAAAGATTTCCGCATTTCCTGTTTTGGCTCAGAGACTGAAAGTGATGGGAAATCTCTCCAATGGGACACTGGCAGCAAAAAACAACAATAGGGCATTCTGCCACTCACTGCTCTAACCAAAGCTAGAAAAAAAACGTTGGCTTTAGATATTCCTTAACTTCGTTTTAAAGGTAAACTTAGAACGATCGAAAAAGTCAGGGTTTCTGTAACTAAACTATTTAGTCAAGGAAGATTTTTTTTCTAACATTTCCTAGTGCTTTGGAAAATTTAATGTGTTGTTATCAACCGTAGTTTTCTGTATTCTCCTAATAATACATGTGGAATATAGACAGTACCAGGATAATAAAGCTCACACATTTGATCTGAGGAAGTCCAGTTTATTTAACCAGCTTCTACAAGCTAAAGCTGACCTACCTCTTTCTATCCATCTCTCTTTTCAGGGTTGTGCTCATCTCTCATACTCTTGGTCATAATATGTCTTCAAAGTCCACCAGGGTTCAATGCCTTCCCGCAAATGTCTCTTTCCAACCTCTTCACAAACGCTGTCATCCGAGCTCAGCACCTTCACCAGATGGTTGCAGACACCTACAGAGACTATGTAAGTACCATCATTTTAAAATTAAGACATGGAAAATTGTACCTGTTATAAGTGGTTGTTGATTGGTTTACTCACCCACTGAATTCTCAGGTATCTTAGGGGCTCCATTTGCAAAATCTCCTCTTTGGAATTCCTGTCTCACATCACTTTTTTGCCGCAGCAGAAGCAGTCTCACTCTGATTGTTATGTTCCCTGTAATGCAAATTTAAAGAGAACTCCAACATGTAGACATAGAGCCCTTATAATGGTGTTAAACAGGTGCATAGGATATGGGAACACATGTGCCGAGATCCCCCCCAGAGTCCCCAATAGGTAGATATGATGCTGGAGGATGATTCAATACATTAGAATCTAACTAAGATGGAAATTACTCTTGTAAATGGACAGAGAATAATCTTTGCATGTTCTTGAAAGACACTGATATTAGTCTCTAATGTTTCCCGTTTAGACATTTGTAGCTGCTATGAAAGTTATTTTAGGAAAAAATATAATCCCACAAAATACAGCACCATACAAAGACCAGCAAACCTTCTATTTTCTTTTTAAGTCCATTATAATGGTACATGTTATGTATAAAAAAAACAACAATTTCATTTGAAACATGCATATGTCCAACTTTACTACCCTGTTCTGAATCAGTTTATCAGGGACAGCAAATAATTAATGATGACTTGGCTAAACTAAAGTGTATATATACCCAAACCTTTTTTTGTATTCTATTGTAGAATGGGGAAAGTGTAGAACTCCTGTCAGATGTTACTGCTATCTGGGGCTCTGCTAGATAGACTTCCCCTCACCTTTTGTTCTGGGTACAAACTTTTACCATACAGGAAGTTAGGGAAATCTGCAATAGGAAAACAGACTATAAAAAGCTGACAGAGGCTGCAGCATTCCTCTAATTAAAAGTAGAATTAAGCCCTTTTTTTTGCATATATCTACTAATAGCAAGCAGTAGACATATGCAAAAACATTTAAAAAATAAAAAAGTAACAAAACAGGTTACGATCTGAAGATTATAGAGCGTTCGTGAAGGATCATGGGGCAGGTGCATGCGCAGTAGAGATCTTTGGCCTGGAGAAGAGAAGAGACAGACACCGTGGGACACAGAAGACTCAGCAGTCAGCACTGGATAAGAGACCGGCACCAGCGCTGGAGGGACTTCTGAAAACTACTGGAAGGAAGAAGATGATCAGATCAGGAGACATCATTTAGGGTAAGTCCTTAAAGCAGCATTGGGTGGGCACTTTAATGTCACTTTAATTGTGTTACTGTTAGAGAGACTTTTTTTCTCATTTCCTATTCTGGGTACAGAATGGAGAAAGAATCTCTCCAACAAGCAGTTAACCTGACATGAGCTCTAAACCTTCCCTACTTTATCTAAAACTAAAAATATGTTGGCTATTGGCACTGCCCATATTGCTGTAGAACAATCAGAAAAGGGAGTCACCATGTCTCACTTCTAGAAAGTTCTCCTAAATCCTTGAAAGAACTTATCTTTCTGCCGTTTCCCATCTTTTCAATATATTCCATAATGTAGTTCTGGCCTGCTAGGTTGTGATGTCACTGGGACTGCAGCTTGTCCTATGACATCAAGGCTCTGGTCAAATATAAGGAAGAAGTTTTTGGTTTTTTTAATTACTGTTATTTAGCTCTCGTTCCCAAAGGCTCCATCAATTTTACTAGTGATCTACAAATACTCAGCACTCAGTAACTCAACTCAAACGCTCATCATGGTAATTTCACATGCTTTTAGGAGTCTAGAGGTAATATAGCTATGATTGAAGAAACTACTAGTGCATCCAGAAAAGTCTCCAGATATGCATTTGGTCCAACTTCAATCCCTGGTGGTCTTCCACCTTTTTTTTTTTTTTTTTTTTCCCCAGGTTTCTCTACTAGCCTATTGAAGGGCAGGAATAGGCTGTTAATACCCGATTCTTTTCTACATTCTCAAAAAAAGAAAAAGAAAAATCACACCAAGTTCTCTTAATTTAGTGCTGGATGGAATGAAGTGGGTGTACGCTACGCCTCTACAGCTAAAAAGATGGAGCACTGTGAAGTCTCTGGCTGTTCGTGTTAATGTTGCCTGTCCTGTAGCCTGATAAAAACCTGTCACCTGTTCTCTTTCAGGAAAAAACATATGTACCCGAAGATCAGAGATTTTCAAACAAGCACTCATACTCAGTGTATTGCTACTCAGAAACCATCCCGGCACCAACAGACAAGGACAATACTCACCAGAAATCAGTAAGTATAAACAGGAGGAGAGACTAAGGCCTCCACTATATATGCTGCAAATGACAAAACACTGTTTTATAGTTAAAATTACTTATGTTTTTCTTCCAACACCTTGTGGGAAGTGTCCTCTCAAAGGGTTTTTATCAGAAGGGGGGATTTGACACAAGCCTTGCATGATAATATGCAGGAATACAGTGCACATACATCATCAGTAGGGATGAGTGTACTGATTCTGGCTAAATAGATTTTGCAGCTAAATTAAGGACGCCGAAATGTCCTCAAATAAAAATCTACTTCTTTTGTTAAATTCCTTATTATTTGTATTTGTCTTTTTTATATATTTGATATATAAATATATGGTCAGCACAGTGGCCTAGTGGTTAGTACTTCTGCCTTGTAGCATTGGGGTCCCTGGTTCAGTCAGGACACTCTCTGCAAGGAGTTTGCATGTTCTCCCTGTGCATGCGTGGGTTTCCTCCCACACCCCTGGAAGTTTAATTGGCTCCTGTCTAAATCAGCCCTAGTATGTGTATGTGAGATAGTAACCTTAGATTGTAAGCTCCTTGGGGGCAGGGACTGATGTGAATGTGCAGTATGTAAAGTGCTGCATAAATACCTGTAATTAATAATACTTGAATGGTTTTTCTGCACTATTGCCTTCAAGTTTTTTAGTTTCCATTTCTTTTCTTTGCTGTCTATATTTTATTTCTCCGATTTAAACATAAGGGACTATTTCTTGCCAGTTTACGGATTAACCTTCAGATGCTCCTTAAAGTCCATTGTACACTTAATTTTGCCATCCCTATTGACGCTAATGCATTTTGTTAAAATATCAGAATTTCACCCAAATCTACCACTCTTTTCAGAAATTTTGAGGAAATGAAAACGCTTAATTTTGCTCATCCCCCATCACCAGCACACTGTTTATGAAATATAATTTAACAGGCATTGTCATCACCAAAGTTTTTCTTTAAAGGGTTATTCAACCCTCAGCAGTTTTTGCATATATCTAGTGCTAGCAAGCAGTAGATATATGCAAAAACATTTAAAAAAAAGAGGAGTTTAAAAAGGGTTGAAACTTACCTGTGTCTTTGCCGTGCGCTCCCGTCCGAACATCTGAAAGGTCTCGGGTGGCCACAAAGGATCTTGGGGTGGGCACATGCGCACTTCAGATGTTCGGCCGGGAGACGAGAAGAGACACCAGGTAAGTCTATGGAGCAGAGTGCAGCCGCACAGACTCTGTGGGGCATCAGAGAAGGACGACAGAGGAGTCAGCGCTGGATGGGAGACCCGCACCAGCGCTGGAGGGACAGCTAAAAACTACAGCAAAGAAGATGATGGAATAAAGAGACATCATTTAAGGTAAGTCCCTACAGCAGGATTGGGAAGGGGCAAAAAAAAGTTTGACTTTAATGCCACTTTAAGGTATTCTCAGCAATATGACAAGGCTTTTTTTTTTTTAAATTAAATCACGATAGGCACAAGCTTACTGTATATGGAGAACAGCTTTGTATATTGATTCAAGTAAAATGCTCTAGGGTATATAAATAGCTCTAATAAATATTTTCCAATAATTCTGCTAAATCTGTCTCTTAATGATGTTGCTGGTAACATGCTCACCTCCCCACAGGATATGGACCTCCTCCGCTTCGCGCTCACGCTCATGCAGTCATGGATGACCCCAGTCCAAATCCTCAACAGAGTCTTCGCAAACAACCAGGTGTTCGGGAATATTGACAGAGTCTACGACAGACTGAGGGACCTCGAGGAAGGAGTACACATTCTCATAAGAGTGAGTATCTTGTATATCCTCATACCTCATTAACAGATGTAAAATGACAGCAACCCTAAATTAGAAGCAGCCATATAGAAAACAGCTGTGTATATAAAAAGAAAATAGTATGTATTTATGTGTGTGTGTATATATATATATATATATATATATATATAAATAAAACATTTTCCCACCATGTCAGACATGCAGGGCGGGTGAGCGTAGGGGGACATATGGCCGCGTAGTTCCATAGAGAAGGGCAGGGGCAAACTAATCAGACGCAGCACCTGTCCTTCCCGGGAGCTGCTCAATACGGCCCTGCACACAGCACGGAGCTGTACGTGGCGGCCGATTACAGTGTGAATGAGGCCTAAGATTTATCTGAGATTTTAGGAACAAGCCATCAAAATTATATATAATTTTAAATATTTATTTATCGTGTGTAAGTCTGGTCTCACATACACACTGTCATTTGATCATACAGTCTACTTAATTGAGGTTAACATAGGTGTTCCTATAAGCTGGTGTCACATATACCCACTAAGAATATGTTGCAAAAAGCACCTTAGATGCCCACTTGATAATAAATATGCGACAGTATAAAAGAGGGTGGCATCTGGCCCAAAAAGGTTCAATAGTCCACCTTTGTGTATTTATCACATTGTGGGGCTCATGATATGGTGAAGTATAATTTTATATTACCATTAATACAAACACCTGTACTTTATTTATATCCATTATCCAAATAGTATTATAAATAAAAGGAACAAAGATAAAACACTTAAAAAGCTACTCAGGCTTATAAGAAGTGAAACAAAGTAAGGTCTTGTGTTCTATATATCTCCAGTTACCTGGTGGCAGATCTTTAAAAATCACTCTAGGTACAAGGTTTTTCTTTTACTGCTGTAGATGCATTCCCATTTTTTATTTATTGTTACTTAACTTCCTCTAGTAGCAAATACATTCTCTTCTGTTGCCTCTATGCTATAATCACAGGAGCCAACAAGGTCTTAATTACTGGAGCTGGGATCAAAGCAGGTGCCCTCTTGAATCCCTCCTCCTGACTTTGGTTAATGTCCTGCTCTGATTCACTGGATAGGGGGAGTTGTATTAGAAGTGTTGATAACCGATCTCCAGCGCATCCAATGCAGGTGAAATAGCATTGTACCCTGCAAGGACTAGCAGGTATGTACTATATGAATGAATGAGCTTTGGGGAAATGTCAGGTGGCAATTACATTTAATAGCAATTGCATTGTTTACATACGGATTTGCAGTTAGCCTATATTGATATTGTAACTCTTAACATTAGGGATGCAGCAATACCAAGCACTGTACTCGATGCAAGTACAAATACTTTTAGAGCTCCAGGACTAGACCAGAGAAAAATTCAAAAGTTAGGAGGCAGCTGTCATTTGTAAGGAGCACACTGAGCTCCGGGGATTTGTACATCTGTTTTAATGTATGATTTGTTTTTATAAATATATATAAGTGATGCACAGATACCATTTTTGCAAGTACAAGTACTGATACTTGCCCAAGTACTCACAGATACAAGTACTGATACATTTTTGTTTATTGTCATGTGACAGTTTTTTTAAAAACAATACAGACTAATGATTTCAGGACAGTGGTGGGGCGCCAGAGCTAAGTCCCAGATGCAACCCTGGTAGTTCTCATGAAAATACCAAGTATCGGCACTGGTATCTGTGCATCCCTACTTAATATTTTCCGTACTGGATAAAACAAGTGACTGTACAATCAAAATAAATATACACAGCGCCTTAAAAGTTGTGAATTGTCAGAAAGGTGTAATCGGGCCTTAACTAACACGTACCTTTTTATCCCCAGGAGCTGGATGATGGAAACGTCCGTAACTATGGTCTGCTGACTTTCACATATGATAAGTTTGATGTCAACCTGCGCAGCGAAGAAGGCCGCGCAAAGAATTACGGTCTTCTGTCCTGCTTCAAGAAAGACATGCATAAAGTAGAGACCTACCTGAAGGTCATGAAGTGCCGGAGATTTGTGGAGAGCAACTGCACCTTTTAACTAACAATCAGGAAATTGAAATATTCTCCATAGTCCCCCCCCCATCTCCCTACCTCTTGCAGACACGTGCTGCAATTTTATATCTTCAGGAGGTAGGGAATCTAATAATATTATATACATTCCTGACCAATGCACAGTTTTTGCAGATGTAATTTTGCTTTGTGCTTTTCATGTCTTTGTACGTTCTTACAAAAAACAAACCCATCAATAAAATATAGAAGGCATTTACACGAGTCATGAGGTCTGGTCTAACTATACAAATGGCTTGTAAGGCACCTGAAAACATTGCAGATTATCAATGCTAAAAAATATATACAGTAAACTCCCCGTTATCTGGCATCCAAGGGGATTGGCAGATTCCGGATAAATGTAGTTTGTGGTTGCTTGAGAGTTGCTTTTAAAAATAGGTCTGACTAATGCCATACCCTATACCATAAACTCTGTATTGACTTCGTATTAATATGGAAATGCAGTAATCAAAAGCAAATTAGGACAAATAGACATACTTAAAACAAATTAAGACAAATAGGCAATCGTTTCCAGGCATAATAGTGAGTACACAGGGGATATTTCTTTCTGGTTACATGAGAGTTCTGGTTAGTTGAATTCCAGATAACAGAGAGTTTATGCCATACCCTATACCATAAACTCTGTATTGACTTCGTATTAATATGGAAATGCAGTAATCAAAAGCAAATTAGGACAAATAGACATACTTAAAACAAATTAAGACAAATAGGCAATCGTTTCCAGGCATAATAGTGAGTACACAGGGGATATTTCTTTCTGGTTAGATGAGAGTTCTGGTTAGTCAAATTCCAGATAACAGAGAGTTTACTTTATATATATATAT